TACCGAACCGAAAGCACTGTATCGAACGGTTCAATATCGATACGAGTATTGTTGCACCCCTAATATATATATAACATGACCAGGCCCACGTCATATCAAATTCAGCTCTACGTGGCTCTAAGGAAGTCACAGCTTTAACAAAAACACACGTTGTGCGTGTATAGCATCTGTATGTGTGTCAAAGAAGTACCTGTGTTTACACTGTGCCACTAATGTGTGAAATAACTACCACCAAATGGTGTATTGCACATGTCTGTCTAGACACATAAATACATAGAGCACATACAGAGTAAACAGAGTTAACATTTGTAACATGGAGGCAAAACAGTGCAGGCGTCAGTTACATTTTTTGTTATTTGTTCCTGTAAACTTCAATGATTGTGCCCATATATATATATATATATATATATATATTTTTGCCTGTGTTTCCTATTAGGAGAAATGTGTCTTAATATTTATTTATTACTCTTCCCTTGGCACTTGGGTGTCAAACTTTTGTGTCTCCTCACTGCAGGGACAGAATGAGCTGCTGGTCATGATAGCATTAGTGTGTTATGCTTTTTTAGTTGTTTTTTTTTTTAAACAAGCTTGCTTATATATTTACAAGTAAAAATAAAAGTAAAGCCAGTAAACACTTTTTTACTTTGCCTCAATTCTGTTCTCAGCGTTGGATCAGTTTTTTACTGTATCTTTACAGTGTGCAACCAACAAAGCTCACACTGAAAAACACATGACGAAACCCCCAAATCAAACGAGATGACAACGTATTTTCTTTTTTTTTGTTTTAAATGTATATTTGAGTTATGTACCTTTGTTTCTGTTGTTTTAATTGTTTCATTATAACTAACTGAAGGTCATAAGCAGCCTAAGCTGTGCATTGAAACACTATGCGTGCACTAGGAAACATGGCACGCTCCATGACCTCACACCCAGGTGTTCCCCCTTTCTGCTCCAGGTCAAACTTGGCACTGGGCGATCAACACATTTTCTTGTCTTTCCTGAGTCTATCCCAGTACACAGTGATACTCATCATGTTACGCCGCCTCCTTCATACTTCTGTTTATCTCTTCCACCTTCATAACATCGGTGCCCTTCTTGTAAGGACGTTCTCACTCTGTGAGACACATGCAAAGCTGGGACATTTGGATAAAGGCATGTCCAGGTACTGTGCTTCTTTTCTTTACATAGTCTAAGTCAGTCTTGAGCTTGTATTTTGTGATTACTAGTCTATTTATATATGTAACAGAAATCATCATGCATAGAAGTAACATGCTTTGCAGCTTGAGGTTATTTTTAGCAAAGCAAGGGGATTAAAATCAGGCCAGGTTTGTCAGGTTGGATTAACATTTGGGAGACTTCTATGCTGGAGTTATTAGAGAAAAAATGTGATCCATGCTAGAACTGACATTGATAGATGTGCAGAATTAAAAACAGCCTTGACATATTCACGAATACAGTACAGTAACTAAAGAAAGTGTAGTAGCCACTCAGAAAAAAGTAGACATTATGCACAGAACTGTGCTCTGAGCATCTTAGTGAAATATGCACTATACTGATTATATATTAATATTGTGGGGTATGAGTGTTTCTTTTGTTTATGTTCTGTTTTTAAGGCAGGTTAAAGGATGGTTTCGGTTGCACAAAGCAGCAGAAGATGTGTGCTGCTGCTTCTCTTTCGTACCCGGTCAATCTTTCCCATCTCTTTCTTCACATTAGCGTTAGCAGCCCTGACGGCGCCAAAAAACGTGGCACTTCCTGCTGCTGACATTAACAAATCAATCTTAATCCTGCCTGCTACCATTTCCACTCTTTCAGTGGAAAAATCTTCCAGCGTATCACTGTCCTACTCAACCTTCTCTTCTCCTGCACGTACCCCACAAACTTTGTCAAAACTCCCATTCAAGACTGACTCAAATGCCAAGTCCTCTACCTCTGAAACATCAGTTCAACTCATCAACCCAGGACCCCACAAAGATGTTGCAAACTCACCTATAACTTCTAAAAATATCCATCTGTTTGGCAAAGAGGTCTCTCCTAGTCCTTATTCAGGCCATTGTCGCCATACATTTTTCTATCCTGTTCAACCCCTAAAACAAATTTCATGGTTGCCATCTAACCCCTGCAAACATCTGAATTTGTCCCACAAAGCTACAGCACCTTTTTCGCACAAACACTCTCAATCACCTCACACCAAGAGCTGCCTGTATCCTCTTTCTACTGGAAAAGTTCATCTTCAACTTGCGAAAACTTCTAAAACTCAATCTCCTTTGTTGCCAGCCTCACTGTCTCCCCTTTCCAACTCAACCTCACCTCAAAGTCTGTCTCCTCTTCCAGTGTCACCCCTTTCCGCAGCATTAACCAAAACAACACTGCCTGCCCTTTCTAAAACATCACCCCTCCTTCCCTACAACACCACGTCATCTTCTCTGGAAGCAACAACCCCTCACCTTGCACCTGCCCATCTTCCCCACACCGTAGGCCCGCTGTTTGAACACCAGCCATTCATTGTTACTTGGAATATCCCTGATCTAGTGTGTAAAAGGTATAACGTCTCACTGGACACCTCAGCCTTTAAAGGAGTGGCCACACCTGCCAAGGTAAGAGTGAAAAGATGATGGATAATTAGCAGCTGTTGTGTTTTTATACAACCTTTAGGAGGTTATAAAACTGTCTTAAAAGGCAAACTTATTTATGAGTAGTGGAGATAAGTTTATTGGGTCTTGTTCCTGCTGCAGGTTCCTGGGCAGTTTCTGTCTCTGTTCTACACAGATCGACTGGGTCTTTATCCACACATAGACCTCAAAAGTAGGAAAGAATTCTACGGTGGCATCCCTCAGAGAGCTAACCTGAAAGCCAGCTTGGAAAAGGCCAGAGCAGATATTAACTACTACATCCCATCCAGGTAAGTAGGCCAGAGTATACTGTCTTTGCCCCTAGTGACACATTAAATGCTGATATTGACCTCCATCACCCTCCTCATTCCTTCCAGGACAAACCGAGGCCTGGCTGTGATAGACTGGGAGGAATGGCGCCCCCTATGGGACAGAAATTGGGGAACCAAAAGAATCTACCAGACTTTGTCAGTGGCCCATGTAATGCAGGCTAATCTCTCCCTCCCAGTACAACAGGCCACAGTAAAAGCCAAACAGCAGTTTCAGGTCAGAGTGCTTTGCTTGAGGCTTAATGATAAATTATATACAATACAGAGCTCAGAGTACCTATTAATTATTCATGCCATCGTTCCTTCACTCCTGGCTTCCTTCCTCTTAGGAGGCTGCAAGGAATCTTATGTCAGGGATGTTGGCCTTGGGCAGAGCTATGAGACCCAACTATCTATGGGGCTTCTACTTGTTCCCCAACTGCTATAATTATGGCTGGAAGGACCAGCACTACACAGGCCAGTGCTCCAAGGAGGTGAGGAGGCAAAATGATGAGCTGCTCTGGCTATGGGAGTCAAGCACGGCCCTTTACCCCTCTGTTTACTTGCAGGTTGGTGATTCTCCTATATGGATGACATACTTCTAATATTATTATTTTAAGCGGTAATTTTCCCTGAATCTGTTTCAGACCTCTCTAGCAGACAATCCAAAAGCCGCTCTGATGGTGAGAAACCGCGTCCAGGAGGCTTTGAGGGTGTCTGCCCTTCCTGGATGGAGTGCTACTGCACCCGTGTTCGTTTACATGCGTCCTGTTTTTGTTGATGACAACAAACGCTTCCTCAGCCAGGTAACAAAGACTAATTTAAATGTGGATTTGTTTTACACTTTATTCATAGGCACATTACGTAATAGTCTGCAGCATGAC